TGCTGGGCTCTGCAGTGGGGCTGTGTGCTGTGTGTGTCTGTCCTATGCTGGGCTCTGCAGTGGGGCTGTGTGCAGTGTGTGTCTGACCTGTACTCATCATTGGGGTGAGCGATCTCCACAATGTCTCCTATCGTCACCTGAGGAAACACCTTCGGATTCACCATCAGCTCATCATCTGGGAAAACAGTTCAGACCAAACATCATCCCGATATTCATGGACTGTAATACGTCAGCTCTGCTCCTGCAGACAACCCTCAGTGAAGAAGACAGACTCCCCTACCCTCAGCAGCGGGGGTGACCATGAGCAGCAGACCTGACCACAGTGCTGCAGTGAAACCCAACGCTTGCGGAGAGACAGGGGTCTCACTCACCACTGCCCCCGAAGCCTCTCTTGTGGACGACCAGCTTGTAGGACTTGTTGGTCCTCATGGTGCTGCTGAGCCTGCCTGAGCCGAGCCCGTGAGGTACAGAGTCTGGACTGACCCAGAACACGCAGGATCACACCTGTTCACAAGAACACGAGACGCGTCATGGAGAAAAACAAGCCACTGAGAAATCCTCACTCCTTCAGGCCCTGTTGCTCTGTTAAAGTTCAGCAAAGGAGCTGAGCGACCTGTTGCAGACAGCCACCCACAGCTCGCAGGGGTCGTACAAGGATCCTGGCCACCTCTCATGGACACAGGAAATGTCTATTTCACGCGTGATAGGCACAGAAGTTTCCTAAGTTCAGAACTTATCATCAAGAGCCGCTTATGTCCAGATGCAGCGACAGAGTCTCGGCTTTCATACAAGATAAGATCCCGTATCACACCCTAATGGGACCTGCACAGGATCAGGGCTGAACCACTGTCTCCCGGGTGAGCTAAGCTCGGCAGGCGCCCGGACCGACACCCCGGACACGGAACCAGCCTCCTCCATGCAAGAGGTGTGCGCCCCCACACTTACCCGCTGTACTAATCTGAACGCGTCTGAGTTCTCGAGTCCAGCCCAAACTGACCAGCCCAGCGGCATTAACATCATCACTCCTCCTCGTCTCCGACTGCTCTGCCTTCCTGCCTTGTTTTGGTTCCGCTAGACACAAACGACTGGTGTCACCGGTTTTCCGCTCCGGGTAGGCACATGAGCCCCGAGCCTTTCTTTAGTTCCACTCAGCTGGAGGGAACGCTTTGCACGGGCACAGACGGCATCTGCGCACATACTGTATACTGTGCTGTCAGAGACTTAATATCGACTTTCTTAAAAATGTAAAAAAGTGTTGTCGAACACTTCACCTTCATAACAAGAAGTTATGTTCTTAAGATTTTTTTGTAAACCAATTTAAAATAATGTTTTTTTGCGTTTGCATAAGAGGGAGTGTTTATGAAATAAAGCGACCTGTTCAATCAGTGATATGTTGACGCTGTGTGGAGAGCAGACTCCTGGGCTCAGAGCAGCCTGGTGCTCACAGGGGCTC